AAAACTACTCATACCTGTTAGCCATTTATGTACAATACTGAAACTATATCTATATTGGTGTGCAAATTGTCAAGAATAAATGCCAGCAAACTAGCAGGGCAGGTTACACACTTTCAATGAGGCATACACAAATGGCAAAATGACATCTACAAAATGTGTGGCAAGAAAAATATTCTTCCAATTAGTACACATATCGCTGACTGTTCATTCCTTTTAAATGTCAACTACATGATACCCCAATGGTTATAACTTATAAGGCCGTCTATGTTTGTCAGCACATTCCCAAGGATGTAAAGTTACATAATATCTTATTTAATTGCTACCCTCTGTAAACTTTTATAAGAGGGAGTAAATTCTAAATTGTTCTCTCTTTTTTAGATAAAATGACTAAGCTACTGGTCGCAATTTTTTCTATGGCTGTACTCAACCATAAAAATGTCCATTATGACAGTTGTCTTTTCAGAGATTGGGCATTCAGTCAAGTTCTCAGTTAGGTGTTCTTCCTCAATTATTATTGTAAAAAAATATTTGCAAGATGTGCAAACTTACTCCTTGCGCTTCCAGATGCTCAGTTTGCCATCAGCATGTGTGCAATAGAGCAGGTCAAGATCAGTATCGGCCATAACATCCGTGAACTTGCCGAACCCCCTTGGCAATGTAGCAACAGAGAGCACAGTGCTGTAGTTCAGTTCAAAGACGACGAGCTCCCGAGGGTACACGGCATATAGGATGTGTCTCCACAGTGGGGAGAAGCACAGCCTCGCCGCAAAGAGCGGGAAAGCAGCGAGCGCCGGGGCTGGCGCCGGCGCTGATATGTCCTTCTCCAGTCTCTGCAGCTCTGCCACGTCCCCGGCACCGCAAACGATCCTATGCTCCTTCAACGAGATGTCAGAGTCATGCCGTGGGACAGCGGAGAGAAGGAAGCCCTTGAGACCGAGCGCGCAGAGGTGGCGGTCGTCGAAGGGGTCCCGGCGGAGGCAGGAGAGGTACTCGGGCGAGGCGTCGAACATCCAGAGCACGCGGGGGTTGTTGCTGGTCTCCCAGATGCAGAGCAGCGAGGGCCCGTGGATGGAGGCGAGGAGCCAGCCGGAGGCGTGGTGGATCCAGCAGAGGTCCTGCACGCCGCCGCTGGTGCCGGGCGCGACGCTGCGGGACTCGTCGAGGCTGAGCAGGCGCAGCACGGCGCGCGCGCGGGCGTCCCAGACGGCGACGCGGCCGTGGCGGTCGCCGGCGGCGAGGCGGAGCGGGCGGTGGTCGTCCTCGGCGGCGGCGAGGGAGGACGCGCTGGCCGCGGGCGCCCAGCGCACGGCGGTGACGAAGGAGGCGGGCGAGGTGGCGGAGGAGGAGGGCATGGGGAGGACGCAGACAAGCTGCATGGAGCGCGGGTCGGAGACGACGACGCTGCTGCCGGCGCCGTGCGCGAGGAGGCCCGAGGTGCTGAGGTCGATGCAGCCGCCGTTGCCGCGGCTGGCGGGGCCCGGGAGCATCGTCGACGTGGCGCAGCCGCCGCCGCCGGCGGCATTGCCGCGCGATCGCGCCGCCGGGGAGGCGGCCGGCGCGGCCATCATCGCGCGGGGCTGGCTGGGGCGGGGCGAGGCGGCGACGCTCTCTCTCTCTCTCTCTCTCTCTCTCTCAGATCTCGACCATGTGGGATTGAGATTTGAGAATTGAAGGAGGGTCGATCTGCCCCGTGCGCGTGGGAGGAGACCGGGAAGGAAGACTGGTGCGGCCTGTCGGGTCAAGGGGGCCGTCGGTGCTTTGAGATTTGCGCATGCCTGGTGGGACCCATAAAGCTTCTTCTTCCTCGCCTAGTTGGCGGCTCCAACTACGCGACTCGAGGACCGGAATGGTACCGGAAGGATTCAGACTCTTGTCGTGCTTCTCCTGTCGAGCGAGAGCCGGGAGGTCAGTGAGAGACGATGACTTTGCACGAAATACATGTTAAGTTATAGAGCAACATGACCTCGTTGTGATATTATGTTATAGTACATCAGTTTTCGGCCAGTTTTTTATATAAACTGATAAATGAAAAGGCAAAGCTCCTACCGGTTGCTAAAAAAATTATGTTAGACATGCAATTACTTTGTTTCAAAACACTTTATACAACTTGAAAAGATGTCTGTTTAATTTACGGATTTATATCTTCAATGTCAAGGTGCACTGATTTGTTTGTCTGTGGATGTTACCTAAGGCGGCAATATGTTGGTATGTTAACAAGCGATCTTAGTCCCTGTTGCCACCTTCCTTTGGAGTAGATCCTTCTTTGATTGAATAATGATGCAATGAAAAAACTAAACTTCTTTCCTTTCCTTAGGAATTTTGCAACAAAGCAATTTAGTGGGGCAAAAAAAAATTATGTGAGGTTCAGGTGTACACATTGGGTCCAAGAGGTGAGTTGGGATGGCAATATCAGGCGAAACCAGCGGCATGGACACTGAATTGGTAGAAGAGTGTGCAAGTGTTCACGCACAATATAGAGGTTAAATTTCACAAACAATTTTTTTTCTTGTTTTTGACAGACGCTCACATGCATTCACCCAGACAAACTTAGGTGTGCACACATGTCCAGATAAGCACCTCCAAGATAGATCTTAAGATTAACAAAGTCAAAGTCGCCTTTTGTTGAAAGAATATTCCATCTATATAAGATAAGTATGTGTCAAACCTCGATCTACAGTGGGTCCGGGGTACAATAACCCTCATAACCATCCAAAAAATATTTAGACCACCGCACCGAAACAGTAGCATTCGGGGTTGGCAAAAACTCCCGCCATTCACAAATATAATATATTTTGGACTATATACGGACTGAAATGAGTGAACAAAGACACTCAAGTATGTCTATAACTCACAAATATAATATATTTTGGACTATATATTTTGGACTATATACGGACTGAAAAATATTTAGATCACAAACATGAAAACAGGGCATAACTTGGCCGCAACCGCACCAGGATTCGTACAGCGATAAGCATAGTGGCAACTGAGCAAAACGCACCACCATTGCTGTCTTCTAGGTCACGGCGAATCTCCCGGCACAAAACTTACGAATCAGTGGTAAAACAAAGTCACCTTGGTTACAGCATCATGTCTTGCTTAAACACGCCTAACACGGCCCTAGCGAAGTACATGAAGATCGATTTCTGATACCAGCTTAAGCATTCTCCGTCTATACTCTATGGCACCAGATGCGTGGCCCAAAGAAGTGACCCCAAAATCAAGAAGCTCACCCCTGCAGATATACTTAGTCAGAAAACCGACATGCATGTAAAAAATCTTTGCTTATGTGTTTTTTTAGAAGGCCCTGTGTGCGGGAAGTATGGGTGACTTCGCATGATAAGAGGATAAGCTGCTAATTCATGATTGGAAAAGTCACAAAGCCGCCTTATAATAGGTTTCCAAGCAATACACACAGAAATTAAGTCTTATATGCAAAATTGAAAAGTATAGTACTACTCTGTTTTTAAATGTAAGACGTTTTGGAAGTTTAAATTGAACTGCCAAAACATCTTATATTTAGGAACAGAGGGTGTACAACTTAAGAGTAAAAGGCACATGAGCTGCCCATCATGCTTCAGGAGAGTCTCGAGAAGATATAATTCCAGTTTTGAAGAAATAAGCACATTAATTAGCAGAAACATAATATCTAAATGGGAAATAAAAGCTTCGGGCCCTCAAACATTAACTCTGATGCACAGGTTATGCAATGTTCTTCTTTGGAATGTCATTGGTTCCATGAATTATGTATATAGAATACCAAGACCTAAACATGTATCGTGAGCCCAAGACATTTCACCCTTACAAATTTCCAAAGATCTTTATTATACATAGCAAAAGAAAAAACAAGAACCGGCAGGAAAAGAGTTTTGTGTACAGATGAGCCCTCTAATTAGAATAGTGGAGGCTCCACTGCCGCACAAAGTGCAGAAGACATATCACTCACTACCTGTGATGCTACTAGGTAGGGCTCTGATTGTTGCTTGGCGCTGCCCAATGTAATTGTTCATGGGCAAGCAAAACCACCTGATCCTCATCAAGGAACTCATCTATGAAAAGACGCCTATTGTGTTTTTTTCCATACATTAAACCACACATGTAGCAAACTTTCGGCACACAAATAATCTGGGCAGCATGATATTGAGCAAGTCCAATATACCCAAGAAGATTGAGACTGCCTCCAATGAACTAGGTTTTTCTACAACATGGTTAGAATGAGTGAATATACACGCTAAAACGCGTCTAGATGCATACGAATCTGAGAAAATAGAGAAAAGCTAAAACATCTTATATTTAGGAACAGGGAAGTATTTGATAATTTCTTAAGAGGTTTTTTTCTTTCAAGAATGTAACTTCTTAGAGGTTGCAATCAAGCATGAGATGAGCTTGAATATTTCAGCCGAGACACTGAGACCAGCACCGTCAGAGACAGCTTGGTCAAACAGTTGCACCAGAGAAACTCAAACGCAAGGACCAAAGTTATCTGGCTTACGCACTGGACCAGGACAGGAAAATCAAGCCAACTTGAGCGGGTTTAAACTCAACCTGAGTGAATTTGCCAAGCTGATGGGTATTGGTTGTGGGAATGTGGGATAAAGATGTGAGTGAAACCTGCATGTCTTACCATAATTTCACTGTGAATTTATGTTGTCCAGTTTCCACTATTGTTCTTCAGATGTGTTAGCTAAAACTATGCACACCACGAATCTAGGTTATCATAGATTAGTTTGATATTTCACAATAATAGATGGATAAACGCATTCCTGAAATTGTTTTGATCTTTATTTCCAGAGTCACGTGGCAATGCTGATCAATAAAGAAGAAACCATGCAACCATTCCTGGTTTGACAAGTTCTTTCCAGTAGCATGAACCATTAATTTTCTGCATTACAAAGACAGCAAAGCACCATAATTCTTAAATACAAACAGCATAAGCTTGCCAGGAGAGAATCCCCAACAGTATAAGCACTACTGTGACAGCAGGCTTACCTCTTCGTAGTTCATAGACTCGGTTTCGACAATGATGGTGGGAAGCCAAAGTAGGAGTGAACTAGATTGGGAGGATAATAGTGTTTTGCTCTGCAGACCTTCTTAAGTTCTGAGGTCTTGACATCCAGAGAAAACAAATCAAACTCGTTATCCTCGGGCAACAACCCACGTGCAGTATCATCCCACTGAGCTATTCGAATACATCGAAGGAATAAGAATCTCTCAGTTGCACCCACAGTGAAATAGCGACATCGAGGAGGCAGTGCTATAACATTTTTCAGCTGCCACTCTTTGGGAGATTCGCCGTTGTTTTGTCGAGTGGTATGATGGAGATAAAATGTGGTAGGGCTGTAAACACCGACCAGAGTAAACATCTCGAGGGCTCCTTCTGCGCCATCAACAATAGTAGACATGCATACACTCTGTCCAGGCTGGTTTGTAAGCTGCACATGGTAGCCGGTGAGAATGTTGACAATGGAGAACTCCATTAAGCGCATGTCCAGCATGAGCAACTTGTCCCTCCAAAGAGCCGGCCAGTAGAAGCAGCCACGCACGTAGTTGAAACGGAACAGGCCATTCCAAGAGGGCTCAACTGTGCCCAAAGAGCTCCAGCTGGGAGATGCAGCAACACACCATTGTCCGGTGATGGAAGAGAAGACAAACGCGACCAACTTGGTTTTGTAGCACGCCGTGCAGATGACCCTGAACGAGGACTCGTCCTCCTCCTCGCCAACGGGAACGAGCATAGGCGCAAATTCGGCAAGGCACTCCTGCTGGACGGTCATTTCCTCAGGTATGGGCGGGAGCAGCGCGTATCTCCGTGACAAGGGATCGCACACCGCGAGGTTTGTGAACACCGGATGGGCATCAAACCGGCAGCTGCACTCGAGGAGGACGCGGCGGTGGCGGACGTCGCGGAGGTACCAGGGGGTGAGCCAAGCCTTGTCGGGCTTGGGACGAAGGAGTAGGAGAAATCTGCGCCGTCGGCGAGGGCACGGGCGAGCGGGGCGGAGGGATGATGTTCATGGGCGTGATGGAATCCACCTTTGTCGATGGCTAATCCTAGGAGTGGCGGCGGAGGAAGGAGCGCTCGGCGATGATGCGGCGGAAACGGGGGCCGGCGGTCGATGCGCGGGCGAGCCCGGCCGGGGTGGGCAGGCGAAGGAAGATCTCCTCCAGGATCTCGTCGAAGAGATGCGGCGCCGTCGGGGCCATGGTCGGGCGCCGGCGGCCGATCGACCGCCGGGGGAGGTGGAGAGGAAGGGGATTAGGGTTAGCGGAAGGTGTTGTGCGAAGTGAGCGAGCGAGCAGAGCAAAGGATGAGAAAATGGTTTGAATGGTTTGGATAATTTCATTGTAAGGCGGCCTATTTCAAGAATGTAAGCTAAAACAATTTGTGGAAAGAAAACACCATTTGCGGAAATCTTGCAGATGTAAAAAAAAATCGAGAATACTGAATATCTATTTATAATGTCAATGAGAATACTAAGCCCCTCCCCGGTCAAACTTCCCCTCCCGCTCTGCCCCTCCTCCATACCGCCGTCAATAGACCCCGCCGGGCGAAGCCCGCACGGATCTGGCGTTGGCGGGGCGTCTTTCCATTTGTGTGTGGGGGAGGGAGGGACACACGTGTCGCGGTGGGCGGTGCGGTGTGACTTCGGCATGTCTTCTCTGTCAGTGGTGGTCGGGGACGGAGGTTGAGAGGCGCTCGCGGCCTCCTCCCGGTGGCTTTCTCAATTCGGCCGCGTCCTCCTGCTGTGCTCCAGTGGGCGTCGTGAGGCTTGCCGGCTAGGAGATGTCCAACAGGGGGTGATATCTGTGAGGCTCGCGTGGTGGTGCTTGCCCCTCCCTCCGTCATGTTCAGCTAGTGGTGGTACGTGCTGGCGCCAGGCATGCCTCCTGGCTTCGGGTTGGCACGAGTCTGGTGGGGGTGCAGCGTGGGCAGGCTGGATTCATCGGGATCTGCCCTATTGTGGCCCAGATCTGATCATGTGCAGTGGCGTGCTGCAATGGTCCCTTGCTCTATGGTGGTGCAGGAGGCGTCGTTCCGCGGTATATCGCTGCTCTGCGGAGGTGGTTTGCCCACTTGGGCGAATGCCGTGCTCCCGACGACGCTCGCGGGCGCTGCTTACCTGCTTGGAGGCATCGATGTTATGGTGACTCCCCTTTGAGACTCTAGGGGAAACCACGATCCTGCTTCGCCTTGTAATGGTCGATGGCGGCACGTTTCGCATCGCATCCCTTCTTGAAGGCATCAACTAGGAGTTGACTCGATGTTTTCGTGTGGTTGCTACTCAGTGTCGGTTTGACGGTGGTGGTGGTGGTGCGGCCGGCTTTGGGTCGACGGTGGCGTGTCTCTTTGTCGACAGGGAGGTGGTGCTTTGTCAGCGTCGTATTGGTTCGACCTTTCCATGGAGTAGATTCCGATTTTTCTCCCAAAGCCGGGTTAGCGGGGGCGTGTGCCTCTAAGACCACATCGGTCCTGTACAACACCTCCCCCCATTTGCGGGGTGTTGTTGGGTGGTGACCAAACGGCCGACGCCCAAGGCTCATCTTACTTGGTTAGATGAAGATGAAAGCTGAGCCCCCCCTCTGTGTTGGTTGCGCTGACAATATTTGTAATGGCGGTCGGTGGTTGTGTCTGGCCTCTGGTTGTCGATGGTTGAGCTTCTCAAGGTCCGGCAACGACACCGCTTGGTGTTGTCAAGCGGCCATTTTCTTCATGTGTGCTCTTCTTCGATGGTTTCTGGGGTTTGGCTGTAGGCCTGGGTGTGTCCTTTTCAGCTGTCTCTTTTCCTTTGTTTTCTACATGTACTTTGGTTTACTTGAACCTATCTTATATGAAGCCGCGAGACTTCTAGGATTTTCAATGAATATATTCAGGTGGGGGTTCGCTCCCCCAGGTGATCATTAAAAAAAGGAATACTGACAACATTCAAATGCACCTCTTTTTAGTCAAAGATCCTTGAATTTTCTTGAAATTCGACAATGGCTTGTAGGTTTTGTACCTGAATGTGTTTTGATCGTTGTACTAAAGCTGCGACAATTAATATAAATTGGAGGGAGTACTGTATCATAACATACTACCGTATTATGACTTATGAAACAAAAAAAATTATGCTTTCTGCAATAGTGACAAGCACAATTAAGCATTGTTAAATCAATTCAACCAAACTGGGACTCATACAATCCTCACCAGATCATCTGAGCTACAATGGATCCATGGAACATAGGAAAAGCAGCAAGCACAAACTTAGTGTCTGACATTTGCAGCCTACCAAATATGAAGAAGCAGAACTACACAACTACTACCTAGTTTCAAGTTCTTACTTGGCTGGGGCAGGGAGGTCTGCACTGGCACGAGGGGCGACATTTGCAAGGTGGGCAAGAGGCATTCCGGTGCCCTCCATGTGGCCGGAGGAGTCGATGCCCTTGGTGAGAGTTGTAGACTGTTGTACCATCTCCAGCGCTTGTATTCTGAGCTCCATTGGATAGTCCTTCACACAACCAATTCTTGGACCATTCCCAGTGCTCCATTTCAGGGACAGCCTGTGGCCGAGCTGGTAGGATTTTGACTTGCTCTTGGAATTCACCCTCTCAAGAATTGCCTCCTGTGAGACGCCGGCATCTCTGGGGCTTTGCAGGCCACCTGATAAGGTTCTTTGGTAGGTTGCTCTTGCTTGCTCTGCACGGATATTATTGCCTTCGTCAGCTTCAGTCTGTGAAGATGCCCCAGATGCCTTGTTGGAAGGAAGAATCAATTGTGAAGGATTGGATGATATGATAGCAGCAGCAGGGTTCTGTTTGGTATTGGGCACTGGATCTTCATAGTAGTCTTCCTTGGTGAATGAGCACACCTGAATATGCAAAAATAAGTTCATGAAGTGAACCGTGTTACATTTGTTAACATACGAGTGTGTTTACTGTTTAGATTTCGCTGATCAAAAAATATTACACCTCAACTTCTTTCAGATCAACTCCATTCTCTTCTAGAAAGCTCAGGAAGTTGCTAAGGTTTTCCGCACTCGGTTTGTAATGTCCACTATAGGCCCAGATGGACTGAAATCGGGACAGATCATCAGAGAATCAAATTAGCATAACATCCCACGAGAAAGCACAGTAACAAAATTGTTAGACTATGTATAGCTTCTGTACCTATGTACGTATATGGTACATATTGTAACACAACCATTATATATAATGAGATAAGCCACCCCTAGAGGGTTGTGCTGGTTCCCCAAAACTTATTGTCTTACATGGTATCACGCTAGGTTACGATCGCTTCCGCTTCTAAACCCTAATACCCGCACCGCCGCCGCAGCCGCCGCCGCCTTCACCGCCGCCGCCGCGCCACCGATCGCGCCGCCGTCATGTCGAGCGCCGCCACCACCGGTTCCACTGCTGCGGGCTTCCTCCCGGCCTCTCTTGCGGCTCTGCTCAACCTCCCGCTCGATGCCGTCTCTGTTCCGGCTCCGATCGGGACAAGGAGCATCGGCTCCGTCTTCTCCACGCCGCCGGCGCCCTCGCTTGGGCGTGACCTCGTGGTCCACACCGCGGCGCCGCCCTCCGCTGCGGACTCCGCAGGCGTCGTCCCGCCGCTCCTGCCGCAAGCGGATCACACTGCCCCGCTGGCGGGGTTGGCGGCGTTCGCCCCGGCCGCGGGCCTTGCGGCGTCCGCACCGGCCGCGAGCTTTGCGGCGCCCGCCCTGGCTGCGGTCCCGCCTCCTCCCGCATCGGCTTCGGTGCCTCCGGCTGCCTCCATGGTGTTTGCACCCCAGGCAGCCTCCTCGATGGGATTGTCTTCGCCGCCGCCGTTTCACTTCGGTCATCTCATCACCATCAAGCTCTCCGCCGACAACTACATCTTCTGGCGTGCGCAGGTTCTCCCGCTCTTGGGGAGTCACTACCTGCTAGGCTACGTCGACGGATCGCTTCCCTGCCCACCCGCGCTGGTAGACAGCGTGCACGGTCCGGTCTACAATCCGGCCCATCGCATCTGGACGGGGCAGGACCAGGCGAACCTCTCCTCCATCCAGGGGTCGCTCTCGCCGGCAGTTGCCGGCCTTGTTGTCTTCGCGAAGACGTCTCATGAGGCCTGGACCATCCTTGAGCGCACCTTTGCAGCGCAGTCCCAGGCTCGTGTCTCTGCACTCCGTCGTCAGCTTGGAGAGTGTCAGAAGCTTGACTCCACTGCCACTGAGTTCTACAACAAGGTCGAGGGCCTCGCCGACACATTGGCCTCCATTGGACAGCCCCTCACCGACTCCGAGTTCAACTCGTTTATTGTCAATGGTCTTGATGAGGAGTATGATGCCTTAGTCGAGATCATCAACGAGCGGGGCAACTCGACACCCATGCTGGCACACGAGGTTTTCTCTCGGCTCCTTCTCACTGAGCAACGGGTCGAGACTCGCCGCACCAGGGGCACTGGCTCCCTCTCGGCCAACGCCGCCACCAAGGGTGGCTGCTCTTCTTCATCACCCCAGTCTCCCTTGGGGCTGCCACCGTCGCCCGCCTCGGCCCCCCCACCTACTACGACCTTACCAGGGGCTGGCGGTCCACGTGTGTGTCAGCTTTGTGGCCGCGATGGGCACTGGGCCTCCAAGTGTCATAAGCGCTTCCAGCGAAGCTTCCTTGGTCTTGGCAATGACGGCAAAGATACACGCAACAATGCCCGTCAGGTCGCCATGGCTGATCGTCCCGCGCCGCAGAAGCAACAGGGACACACTCAGTCCTACTCCATCGATCCACACTGGTACATGGACTCTGGGGCGACAGAGCATCTAACCAGCGAGATGGGGAAGCTTCACACTCGTGAACCCTATCATGGCTCCGACAAGATCCACACCGCCAATGGAGCAGGTATGCACATCTCTCATATTGGTCAAGCATCTCTTCTCACTAGACATGCCAATAGGAGTCTTCAGCTTCGCAATGTTCTTCGAGTTCCATCTGTGACCCGTAATCTTCTTTCAGTTCCTAAACTCACACGTGATAATAATGTGCTTTGTGAATTTCACCCTTTTGATCTTTTTATTAAGGATCGGGGCACGAGGGACATTCTTCTTAGTGGGCGGTTGTGCCAGGGCCTCTACCGTCTGGAGCATCCTGGTGTCGCTCGTGTTTTCAGTGGAGTTCGGGTCTCTCCGTCACAGTGGCATGCTCGTCTTGGTCACTCGGCCACACCTATTGTCCGTCATATTTTGCGTCGTCATGAGCTTCCTAGTTTGTCTAGTCATAAAGATGTAGCAGTGTGTGATGCTTGTCAGCAGGGGAAGAGTCATCAACTTCCTTTTTCGGAGTCCAGTCGTGAGGTGAAACATCCTCTAGAACTTGTGTTTTCAGATGTATGGGGTCCTGCTCAGACTTCTGTCAGTGGTCATAATTACTATATCAGTTTCGTTGATGCTTATAGTCGCTTTACCTGGCTTTACCTTATTAAACGCAAATCTCATGTGTTTGATATTTTTGTTCAGTTTCAAAAACATGTTGAATGTCTTCTCAAGCACAAAATTGTTCATGTCCAGTCAGACTGGGGGGGCGAGTATCGCAACCTCAACTCTTTCTTTCAGTCGCTTGGGATAGCTCATCGTTTAGCATGTCCACATACACATCAGCAGAATGGTTCAGTTGAACGTAAGCATCGTCATATTGTTGAAGCTGGTCTTACTCTTTTGGCCCATGCATCTGTTCCGTTTCGGTTTTGGAGTGATGCTTTCACCACTGCATGCTTTCTCATCAACCGTACTCCTACTCGTGTTTTAAATCTGAAGACTCCCATTGAGGTTCTCCTTAATGAACAACCTGATTATACCTTTCTCAAGGTATTTGGGTGTGCTTGCTGGCCGCATCTTCGTCCATATAACAAGCGCAAGCTTGAGTTTCGTTCTAAGAAGTGTGTTTTTCTTGGCTATAGCTCTCTTCATAAAGGTTACAAATGTCTTCATGTTCCCACTAATCGTGTCTATATATCTCGGGACGTCGTGTTTGATGAGCATGTTTTTCCCTTTGCCAACCTTCCTGTGTCCACTGTCGAACCACCATCCCTGCATTCATCCTCTGTTGCTTCTGACCAATTTGATGATGTTGCATACTCTCCTTTGCTGTTACCTAACCATGGTGCAGGAACCGGACGTGGAGCTCGTTTGGAGCTGTTGGAGGATTCACCATCATCATCGTCGTCTTCTGGTGGGCACGTCGATCGCCCTATGTTGCATGGCATCGATTCGTGTGCCCATGCATGGTCACCCGACGAGCCCGTCGCGCCGAGCATCTCCACTGCTCGGTCCGTTTCGCCAGCGGCCGCCGAGTCGCCCGCGGCTCGGCCCGTCACGCCGTCTTCGCCTGCGGCTCGGCCCGTCACGCCGTCTTCGCCCGCGGCTCGGGTCATCACGTCACCTTCATCAGCGGATCGGCCCGCGACACCGGCCGCGCCACGGCCCACTATGCCGAGCTCGCCATCGGCCCGGTCTGTGATGCCGGAGTCGCCAGCTGCTTCGTCTGCTCTGCCGGTTTCACCGGTGGGTCGGCCTTCTTCGCCAACCGAGTCCGAGGCTACCGTGACTGGCTCCTCGTCACCGGCTGACTCGTCAACGTCGCCGTCCTCCAGCCCGTTGCAGGCTGCTCCGTCGACCTCGGTGGTTCCTGTGTCCCGACCACATACACGCAGTCGCAGTGGCATTTTCAAACCTAAGGAACGTAAGGATGGTACGGTTGCTTGGTTGGCTGCTTGTTTGGCTGCTGCTGTTGCGGATCCATCTTCTGAGCCTCGCTCATATCAGGCTGCCCTGCGCATTTCACATTGGCGAGAGGCTATGGAGCAAGAGTTTCATGCTCTTCTTCGTAACAAGACATGGACTCTCGTTCCTCCACCACCACGGGTAAATGTTATTGACTCAAAATGGGTATTCAAAGTGAAGAAGCATTCGGATGGATCTATTGAGCGTTACAAAGCGCGACTTGTTGCTCGCGGTTTTACGCATCGTCATGGTCTTGACTATGAGGACACCTTCAGTCCTGTCGTCAAGCCTACCACTATTCGGCTTCTTCTCTCCATTGCTGTTTCTCGTGGTTGGTCACTTCGTCAACTTGATGTGCAGAATGCTTTTCTACATGGATTTTTGGAGGAAGAGGTTTATATGAAACAGCCGCCTGGTTTCTCTGATCCTGATCGTCCTGACTATATCTGTCGTCTTTCCAAAGCACTATATGGTTTGAAGCAAGCTCCTCGTGCCTGGCATGCCCGCCTTGCCTCTGCCCTTCATGCTCATGGGTTTGTGCCGTCTACTGCTGACACTTCGTTATTTCTTCTACAGAAGCCAGAAGTCACTATGTATCTTTTGGTATATGTCGATGATATTACCCTTGTCAGCTCTTCTCAGTATGCTGCTGATGCTCTTGTCTGCTCTCTTGGTGCTGATTTTGCGGTCAAAGATCTTGGGAAGCTTCACTACTTTCTTGGAGTTGAGGTCACTTCTCGTGCTACTCGTCTTGTCCTTACGCAGAAGAAGTACTCCTTGGAGTTGTTACAGAGAGCTGGCATGCTGAAGTGCAAACCGACCACCACACCCATGTCGTCTACCGACAAGATAACAGCTGTTGATGGTGAGCTTTTGTCTCCTACGGATGCCACAGAGTACAGGAGCATTGTTGGTGGACTTCAGTACTTGACGATCACGAGACCAGATATCTCTTATGCTGTTAACAGGGTTTGTCAGTATCTTCAGGCTCCCAGAGATACTCATTGGGCTGCTGTTAAACGCATTCTTCGTTATGTTCAGTTCACCCTGACATTTGGTATGCATATTCGGCCGACTTCCTCTCGGGTCCTTTCGGCCTTCTCTGATGCAGATTGGGCTGGTAGCCCAGATGACAGGCGATCCACGGGGGGTTATGCAGTATTCTTTGGCTCTAATTTGATCGCCTGGAGTGCTCGGAAACAGGCTACTGTGTCACGTAGCAGTACTGAAGCTGAGTACAAGGCTGTGGCTAATGCTACTGCAGAGATTATTTGGGTGCAGTCTTTGCTTCAGGAGTTGGGTTTGTCTCAACCACAGCCTCCTATTCTTTGGTGTGATAACATCGGTGCTACATACCTTTCTGCAAATCCAGTATTTCATGCCCGAATGAAACACATTGAAGTTGACTATCACTTTGTACGGGAACGTGTATCACAGAATCAACTCCAGATCAAGTTTATCTCATCTAAGGATCAACTTGCAGACATCTTCACTAAGCCTTTACCGCTGCCACAGTTTGAGGCTTGTAGGCGCAATCTTACCCTTCTCAGTTCTTTAGAAAGTGGCTAAGATTGAGGGAGGGTGTTAGACTATGTATAGCTTCTGTACCTATGTACGTATATGGTACATATTGTAACACAACCATTATATATAATGAGATAAGCCACCCCTAGAGAGTTGTGCTGGTTCCCCAAAACTTATTGTCTTACAAAAATCATGAGTATGAAACGACTAGTAAATCTTTTGGAACATGGATGCAAAATCAGTACAGAAAACCACACCCTAAGTAACAATTCACTGAGTGTAAAATCTTTGTGTAAGCAGCACCACTTGGTACGATGGGTGCCTCTTGACAATACCTTGATAACTCCATTTTCTGCAATAAACCGTCCAGCAGCTATGGTAGCACCTCCTGCTAAAAAGCTGGAGTGCTGGAATACACCTCTCTCTTTCTAGATATAGAAGTAAGCATACAATTAAACACTTGTAGCGAAGCTAAACTTCCAAAACATGACATAACATTGCTCAGTAGCAATAGTCAAACAACCATCCCAGCATACAGTTTCTTTGCTGTGCTCATAACAAAAATCCATTTCGTCCCTTTAGGGCCCTGGCTTGTATCAAGTGGTTCTCCAGACATCTTATGGGTGATCTTTCCCTCTGTAATGATGTATTCATAGTACTCACGCTCTTGCTGCAAAACATCAGACAAGTGTTAGAACCATCTGGTAGGCTTAGCTGCTACAAAATGCATAGTTCATGCAGAACAATCTTCTAATCTTTCATGTGGCAACTTATTAGCAACTAATTTGAACATGTTTCAGGACTTGTGGAACTTTTGGCAGTAAAATAATATCTTTGATAACTCTGTCCAAAAATTGAAGGCGTACGTACGTTTTCCAAGCTTAACTTTGATCAACCAGTTTCCGGACTATATGTGGATTATCTCAATGCAAATTGTTACGATTGAAAGGAGCTTTTTTTATGAATCCAATGATATCAATTTTGTATCAACTAATCCAAATTTGGTTGAACAGATTGTTGATCAAAGATAAATTTGAGAAGAGTGTGTGTGCCTTATAATTCCGGAGGGAGTATTGAGTGTTGCCAATATATCTCAGTTTGCGGATCAGACTGGTATTTCGAGGGGCGAGCTTTGGTTTGAGGTCGAGGGATATCGGATATGACTTCCCTCCACTTGATGCAGATCCACATTTTTTTTTGAAAAGTAGGTTTAACCCCTGGGTAAGGCTGTTGCCTTGGCGCAGTGATAAAGCCGTTGCCTTGTGACCATGAGGTCACGGGTTCAAGTCTTGGAAACAAGCTTTTACAGAAATGTAGGGAAAGACTGCGTACAATAAACCCAAAGCGGTCGGACCCTTTCCCAGACCCACGCCGATGAGGATGGGGCGAGCACAACTGAAAGCGTGCAAAGGGGTATTCTTCTACAAATGCCTCCACCTTGGCCAGCTCATCAGCACACCCCCACGGTACTGTGGTGACACTGTAGGTGTGAGTACCGCAGGCGGCAGCTTGCTACTTGCACCGAACCCTCTGGTGCAGTAGACATCACCACTTCTCCTCTTCGACTGAACAACATGTGTCGAGAGGAGCCCTGTTGCCACTAGGCCATGCTTCGACACCGACCTTGAGGCCTCCCGTGCTCGTGCATGTCGCTCAGCTCCGGTACACTCCTGTCACACCATCGCCTCCGACGGACCGAAGCCGATCGCGTCATGGCGACAATTATCTTTGGTGGCATCCCTGATCCTGTGACTTCCGCTCCAGTGCTCGTACCTGTATCCAGGCCCAATCGGATGCGGATGACTTGCCGACGGGCAGGACCTCGCATGCGGCAAGGCTTTGCTATTGATTTTTCCATTTTATGTTGTTTGGAAGATGATATTATGGAAATCTTCGAGGTTAAGAGTTAGCTTAGTACTCCGTTTGTAAAGTAATATAAGACATTTTGGATCACTACTTTAGTGATCAAAACGTCTTATATTACTTTACACAGGGAGTAAGTAATAATTGTAGGGAGGTTGCGTCTTCGATCAATGAGCTTTTGACAACGAGGTGAATCACGCTTTGGTTATCCTAAAGAAAACCACAACGAATGGGCTGTCGATTCTGATTAAAATTATGTGTTTGTAAATAAAAGAAGTTTTTCAGCCACAGGTTGTAGTTCCTCTGTTGCAAACAAAAGATGTTGTCAGATGAAAGAGATTTTTAGAATGGCAAAGGCCTTCGTGACTTGGCTAAGCACAATTCTTTTGGTAGAATCTCCTAGGGAGCATAAGTTGGACTTTATCGCCTTAATGGAGACTGGCAGAGCCAATTTTTTAGCTCCCTTCTTAAACCATCTGTGTGGTGATCTTGATTTTGCTTGGCACTGCCTCCCTCCACATGGGAGATCAAGCGGTATCCTTCTTCAGGTCAATAGGACTACGTTTTTGGACGTCAGGAACATGGAGGTGGGTGGCTTCTGTGTCAAGTTCCGTGTCCGTTTATGGAGCTGCCCAGGCAGAGCTCAAACTTGACTTACCCTCTGAGCTTGTTCATCTTTGTGGTTCAGAGTCTCTACCCATGTTGGTGGGTGGAGACTTCAACATTATCAGGTAGCAGAGCAAAAAAAATAATGATAATTTTAATGTGATTGTTTTTAATGCCATTATTGAGAGCTTGGACTTGAAGGGCGGGACCGGCGAAGTGGTAGTCTCTTCACTTGTGGCCTAAAGGTCCTGGGGTTCGAACCATTATTGAGAGCTTGGCCCCCATCCCGCGGGCGGACCCGGTGCAGACGTCGAAGGCGGGTTTGTGGAATCCGCAACCAAGCCTAGTTGCTATTCTTCGTCCGCTGTGGGCCAGGTCGCCTACTCAAACGATCCAATACAGAGGGGGTTGGTTCCGCGTGGCCGAGCGAACCCTAGAAAGGCAGGCGGCGGCGGCGGCGGAGTGGCCGATGGTGGCGTATCCAGGATTTCCTCCTCTGGTTTCATCCGATCTGATACTACGATGGCGGGGTGAGGCGATTGGCGTGTGCAGAAGCAGGGCAACTCGGGCGGCGGCCGCGGATCCTGGGTGCAGGGCCGCGGAGATGCTGGTGGCGGGGGATTCTGGGTGGCAGGGCGAGGTGATGCAGGTGGTGGCGGTGCTGGTTGGCGTGGACCAACGCAACAGAGACCGCCCACTCCTCCAACTCTCTCCACTCAGCCCAATCCTCTGGTTGGGGGTGCATATGGCGTGGAGCATGGATTTGGAGGTGGTCAACATGGTCATGGGGAGTACTTAGTTGGCCGTGGTGGACATGGATCTGGGCAACATGGGAGCGGTGGTTTTGTCTTCGGACAGCAAGGGCAGTTCTACCAGCAACCTCCAATTCCTCCTTCAGGTAACTTTCAGACACATCCTGCTGTTGGGTTTGGAGCAGTTTAGTTTGGCCAGATGGGCAATGATGCTTTGGGTAGTTATCAGTATTCTGGAACTAGCAACTCACCTAATCAACAAGGACAGGGGTATGGTTATACTGGTTTCAATTCAAATCAATCTGGTACTAGCACTGGGCCTGCAAATATTGGGAGCAGATCACAGATGACATGCTATAAATGTGAGAATACTGGTCATGCTGTTAAGGATTGTCAGACTGTGTTATTTTGCGTCAACTGCACCAAGGATTCACACCTTTCGCGCAAGTGCTCTTTCCTGTCACAACCTAAGCCTGTTGCCAGTCTGGTTGGTAGTGCTGCTGATGGTTTGCAGATGTTCTCAGCAAGGACCAGAAAGAAGCCGGAGCCATATGAAAACAAGCAGGCTATAGCTATTATTACTGTAAAAAATGCAAGCCTGACTGCGTTACAGCTTGTTAACTCTCTCAGCATGATGTTCCAGTGGGGATGGGAGTGGCAGGCTAAGCCTTATCTCAGAGATAGCTTTTTAGTCAAATTCCCTTCCGCGAATAAAATTGATGAAATGAAGGCGTACAATTTCTTTGGTCTGATTGGAACAACAGCTAATATCAAAGTAGATAGATGGACCAACTCTTCAACTGCAGCTTTCAAACTGTATGTTTGCTGGGTTAGAATAACAGGGGTTCCCGAGACACTGGAGCACTATCAAGGTTTTTGTGAAGTTGGTTCTCTCATTGGTTCAGTTTTGGAACTGGACATGGAGCTCTATAGGCAATGTGGAGTTCTCAGGGCTAAGATTGGAGTTACGGATCCTAGGAAAATACCCTCTAGCGCTCCCCTGAATGAAAGTGGTTTTTATCTTCAACGTATACTTTGAACTGGAAGACATAGTGGAGGAGGGTGGTCCTATGGAGGGCGGTATCTTGGTTAGCTATCCTAGTGGCCCTGATTCATCTCATAACGCTACAGAGAAAAGACCGAGAGAGCAAAGTAACAATGAGGAGGTGGGATGTAGCAAATCTCCCAAACATGGTACTGGGGCTGGAAGGTCGGATAAAGGAAACACTACAAGTTCATCAGAGGTTGTGATCCCGAGTCAATACGAACTTGATAAGAACATGGTTGCTGAAAATGAGGTGAGGCAAAAATTACTTGACAAAAAGCTGGATGCTGAAAGAGTTCTCTCTGGTGTGGAACAGGTTAATGCTGAGTTTGCTAATAGCGCTGCTATGTTGGAGGATTTCACAGAAGTGCCTGACAGCCAAAAGGAAGAAGAGTTTGATTGCACTCAAGACCCAGATGACTTTGCTAGGAGGCTTGGGATTAGCACTCAAAAAGTTAAAGAAATCAATGACAATGTTGAGAGGGAGATGATTGCGGAGGAAAATGAGAATCTGCTACTAGCACAAGATAAGGAAAATAGGAGCCCTTCTCTCATCAGCTCCACTCAGGCCGTGACCGCTCCCGGGATAGAAGTGAATCAGAAGCAAACTCCCTTCTCTGACAAAGTTGATGTATGTTTACAATACCCCTTACAAGACATGTGTGGTGTCGATGCATTCAATAAGCAGAAAATGAGGGAGGCTGAAGCCAGAGTTCAGAAAGCAAAAGACAAGGCGGGCTTGATGAAGCTGCTAGGAGAAGGAGTGAAAGGCATAAGAATAAAGATGAGGGGCATACTACGGACAAGGCTACTGAAATGGCAAAGAAGAAAAATTTGGAAATGGCACCAGGTACTAATACACCTACTGTTTTAAATACAATGCCTAGTTTCATTTCTCACATCACGCGATGTATTGGTGTTAGTCTAGGTAAAACTCCTGAGGAAATAGATAGTACTATTTCTATGATCAAGAGTTTAGAGAAAAGTAGAAGTGACTTGTTCTTTGCTAATAAGAGAAAAGAAAATGCAAGAAACGTGGATTTAGAATCAAAACTAGAGAGTTTTGATCCAGATGACATTAAAAATTTATTATCCAACTCAGATTCTGATGCCGAGGAGGATGAGAAGCTTAGAGATGAATTAGTGTTATTATCTTCGCTGTATAAATCAAGAAATATAAAGACTGGCACTGGGGGATTCAGTGTTAAGCCTAAGGTTAGATGTGATGTAACAAATGTTACACAAAATTGACCGTTTTTATGGCGGGTCTATTTTGGAATGCAAGAGGGCTGGGTGAACCTGAAAAGAGAAGATTTCTAAGGGAATCTATCTCGGAGCATAGTTTAGAGT